GTTTGGTTTCCACTTCGGGCATCCAACTCAGCGTCAACGACAAGCTCCACCCCAATTTTATTATTCTTTGTATATTAAAATTGACTTAATCATAAAAATTTTAATTTTTTTTAACAAACCCGTGAGTAAGTATAACATAGGTTAATAGGACCCGTTTTAATATGTAAGAACAATTTTTACTCTAAAAAATAAATAACAGGAACATATTACAAATTAGGTAAGATAATGACATAGAATTGTCGGAGAATATTCCAACCAGAAAAGAAAGTAGATAAATTTTAAGTCGAGAATAATTCAAAATAATGGAATTAAATCCTATTATGATTGTACGAGTAATGATGGTGGCGTTGAAAAAAGTTTAAGAGCAAAGAACGTTGAATGCAAATGAAGAAAAAAAGGGTTTTGAAAGGCATTGGATTAGAAAGGAAAAAAAAAAAGGGTTTTGAAAGGCATTGGATTAGAAAGGAAAAATGGGTTATTGGTTTTAAGTTAATATGTTTGGATGCCAAAGTGACACCTAAAATTCCACCCAAATCAAAAGAAAAGGTGACGAAGAGTGTCCTTTGGAGTGTATGAGAGATTTGTAAGGTAATAGTGAATGCCCTGAGAAGACAGGCAATTTGGTTGCGACGTCATTGGTTCATGGACATTCCTTCGCCCATCCCATATATCATCTCTTCTAATCGCTCCTTGTCTTGTCCTTACTCCAAACCCATTTCTATTTTTATTATAATTTTAAGTTTCATTTTGTTCATATACATTATTTAATGTGATTGCTACAGTATTGTTGTCGTTTTTATACTTGTCATACGTGGTATTTCTTGAGTTAAAGGGTATTTATATGTGTTGAGTTCATCCGGTTAAGATATTTTTAGATATACCCAAATAAATTGATGATCCAACTCAATCGGTACAGGTTAGGTTGAGTTGTGTAGCGGCACAGATCCACTGCTAGTAGATACTATCCTCTTTGGGCTCTCCCTTTCGGACTTCCCCTCAAGGCTTTAAAACGCGTTTGCTAGGGGAAGGTTTTCACTTCCTTATAAAGGGTGTTTTGTTCTCCTCCCCAACCAATGTGGGACATCACAATTCATCCCCTTTTAGGGCCTAGTGTTCTCGCTGGCACTCTTTCGTTCCTCCAATCGATGTGAGACCACCCCCCAAATCCACCTCCCTTTGGGGCCCAGCGTCCTTACTGACACACTGTCTCGTGTTTACCCCCGTTCGAGAAACAGTGAGAAGGTTGACACATTGTCCGGCGTCTGGCTCTGAGAAGGCTGACGCGTTTTAAAGCCTTGAAGGGAAGCCCGAAAGGGAAAGCTCAAAGAAAACAATATCTGCTAGCAGTGGATCTGGACTGTTACAGGTTGATATCAATTGTCATGATCGTAATTCTTCAACCATGCAGTGTTGTGAGATCTTGACACACTCACGACGAGTCTTAAAGGGAAACTCAAGCACCATTCATATTTTTCGCCCGGTTTAGTGGCTACATCGAATCTTAGACGAGATTTGTCTTCACCAACCGAACATCACTTGTTCAACCACACACGTCGTTCATACATGTATGTACAATCGTTGCGACACAATAATGTTGCATCTCATTGTTATCTCGGGTCCCAATAACACGACTCGTACATTATAATGTCATCCTATGTCTCGGGACACATCGAACACCCTGGTTTATTAAATTTTGTTGAAGATTCCAATTTCCTTTTGATGTTTACCATATTAAACCATACATGTTCTCTCCACTCAGACGCAGCCCTAACTTTGTTTTTCCCTCTTATTTTAAACCCATTGCATCACCACTTTCATTTCCTCTCCCCCACACTATTAGTTCATCCAATTTAATCCTCTTTTTTAATTAATTAAATAAATATCACATGAAATGTAATTCACTATTTATAAAAATAATTGGATGGCTGTATTTTTTTTATCGCCAACTCTAATTATATAATTAAAAAAGAATTAAAAAGAAAAAAAAAGTGGCAATCCACTCTAACCACACAACAATAAAAATTAAAAAATATAAAAAAAAAGAAAGAAAGAAAAGAAATGAGAATTTGAGACAAAGTGGAGTATAATATAAAAATGGGGAGTAATATTCTTATTTAATGATTTGTTTGGGCACATAATTTCAATTATTGACTTAATTTATTGTGTCTCTTCCTTACACGTGTCACTATCTTCTGCCTCAAATCTTTTTCTTCCATTTTATATAATCCCTTAGTCTCATGCAATCTCCCAACGCCTTGATTTTGATTTGTTCTTCATTTTCCTCTTAATTTCTATTTCTGAGTTTGCGTTCACATTGCCACATGAAAACACAAGGGATGTTCATCGATACTACCAATTTTACGAATATGAAATTTGGGAATTTTCTAACTCAAAATTCCGATCTCAAAATCTCTATGGTAATCGAGGACGATGGCGATTTTCCGACGCCGGCTAGTTCTGATTCCGCCAATAGCCGGCCGAGTAGCGACGGTTCACCACCGATATTTTCGCCGTGGAATCAGACTTATCCCCGTACGAAATCTCCCTGTTTTACGGAATTCAAAAACGGCGACGTTTACTGGAATAATAGTAGTAATAAGAATAGTTCTCACATTGGGTCTCTTGTTCGTGAGGAAGGTCACGTGTACTCGCTGGCCACCGCCGGCGAGCTTCTCTACACCGGCTCCGACAGCAAAAACATACGTGTATGGAAAAACCTTAAGGAATTTACTGGGTTTAAATCGAGCAGCGGATTAGTTAAGGCGATTATAATCTCCGGCGAAAAGATCTTCACCGGTCACCAGGACGGGAAAATTCGCGTCTGGAAAGAGACTCCGAAGAACCCAAGTGGCGGTTACCGGCGGGCTGGAACGCTGCCTGCTTTGAGAGATGTACTGAGAAGCTCTATTAATCCTCAAAACTACGTCGTTGTGGGACGGAACCGGAGCCGGCTCTGGTTCAAACATGCCGACGCCGTGTCGTGCTTGTGCTTGAGCGATGATAAGACGATATTGTACTCGTCTTCTTGGGATAAAACTATGAAGGTATGGAGAATTTCAGATTCCAAGTGCCTTGAATCACTTACTGTCCACGACGACGCCGTGAATGTCATCGTCGCGGCTTCCGATGGCTTGGTCATTACCGGCTCCGCCGATGGCACCGCCAAGGTAACAACTAATTGGCAAGATTTAATTAAATAATAATATGAATTAAATCAAATTAAGCTCAAACATTATAAAAATAAATACACTAATGATTCAATGTATAGTTTCTTTTAGGATCTGTTATCTTTGTGTGTTAGGTGGTGATTATATTCTAATTTGGATTAATTATTTTTAATTAGTTCCATGTGCTTTGTGTTTGTCTTTTTTTTTTTTCCAATTATTTATAATTTTTCAGTTTAAAATTCTCTCAATCATTTAGTGAAATAAAATTTAATTTTTTTAAAAAAGTATTATCAACTAAGTTTATAAATATAATTAATCTGTTTTTCCTTAATAGGTATGGCGGAGGCAACATGAAGAAGAGAACGACGCAACAAAACACACATTGGAACAAACGTTGGTGAAGCAAAATAGTGCGGTGACGGCGGTGGCAGTCAACGCCGCCGGTACGGTGGTGTACTGTGGATCCTCGGATGGGTTGGTCAACTTCTGGGAGAGGGAAAAGCGGTTGACTTATGGTGGGTCCCTAAAGGGGCACAACCTAGCAGTTCTCTGCCTGGCGACGGCCGGGAACTGCATGGTACTCAGCGGTGCGGCGGATAACACCATATGCGTGTGGCGGAGAGATGGGCTTTTCCACACGTGTGTATCGGTGCTGACGGGTCATACTGGACCCGTTAAATGCTTGGCTGTCAAGGAAGATCCTTGCCGCCGGTGTAAAGACGGCGGTCGGCGGTGGATTGTGTACAGTGGTAGCCTGGACAGATCGGTGAAGGTGTGGGGGGTTTCCGACAGCCTTGGAGGCTGACGATTGGAATCTGGATATCGGGCAAATGGCAAGCTGCCACGTGGGTGAAACCATATCATTAGTTTGTATAGTTTGCATGTAGGTGTCATGACAGGTGGAAAAAGTCATGATTTTCGAAAGAAAAATAGCGAGAAATTTGTTATTACCAATAGTTCTTAAGCATTATATCTGCTTTCAAGTACTTGATTGAACTTAAAGACTATTCAATCCAAAATATAGTTAAGTTACAGATTTGCCCTTCAACTCTTAACCAAACTTTAATTAATTTGGTCGATTTGACCCTTAAATAGTTCATAACATCATTAAATGGGACACGTAAGCACTAAACATACTTCCAACCTTATGATGAAAAATTTATAGATCAAATTTGTAATTTAATGACAATAAGATGCTTAGTTAAATTCCCACCATATGAATATATATCGATCACTAAATAGACAAAATGAACCGTCTAATCATAATTTATGGGACCCCACATCGGTTGGAAATAATAATGAAGTATTTTTTATAAAAGTGTGAAAACTTTTTCCTAGCAGACTGACAATACGTAATGGGCAAAAACAGATAATATTTGCTAGCGATGGACTAGGTGGTTATAAATGATATTAGAGTCGGACATTGAGTGGTGTGTCAGTGAAAAGGCAGACTCCAAGGGAAGTGGATTATGGGATCTCACATTGGTTGGAGAGAAAAACAAAGTATTCCTTATAAAAGTGTAAAAATCTTTCCGTAACATACGTGTTTTGAAACAGTAAGATTGTCAAGTAATACAGAACGAGCTAAAGCGGACAACATTTAGAGCTATTACATAATTTGACTCGATTTGAGAAGAGTATGGGCTCTTTTCATAGGGGTGTGGGCCTTGTGAGGGTACAAACTATAGCAGCCATTGTGTTTGTGGGTTGTGGCCCTAGATGTGTTTTGATATCACATTAAATATGGTCACATAATCCAAAAGCTTGAGTGAGTTACATTAAATTGAATTATATCAAACAATTTAACACCCAATTTCTAAATAAAAACCAAAATTAAAAATCCAACACATATATAAACAAAGGAAGAGGTTGAGAGAACGAAATTACAGAAAACCAAGATTAATTAGGTTAATAAGTATAATGAAAACCCTAGAAAGAAAGGGTTTGTTTTGAGTTTAGCATTTGAGAAGGATTAGAATGGATGGTTAGAGAATTAGGGCATCCCAGGCTAAAGTCTAAGTTCACAGTATTGTTATTATTATGATCACACAACGACAAGCAGCTACCTTCCAACCTCTGCTTCTTCACGCCGCTCAAGAATTTCATGCTTGCGTCTCCATTCTGTCGGTCCTGCTGCTGCTGCTGCTGGTGGATATAATTATTGTGGTTATTTTTCAAGAGAAACACAAAAAAAATTAAACCATTTGTTGTTTAAGGTTGTTTTTTATAGACATGTTGTATTGTGTTTTGTATATATATATATATATATATAAATATAGATATATGGAGATTCGAACCTGGTTGTTTCCAATACTGTTGTTGCTATGTTGACTCCATCTGCTCGTCATCTCCCGATTTGTCTCCATTGATGAAGAGAACAAGTTCCAGCTGATCATTCATTAATTTAATCCTCAATTAGCCCACTAAATGCATTAATTTAACACACTAATCGTCTACTTCAACTTTTGTTTTCTTTTTCAGTTCTAACATCAAGTTATCCTCGTATTAGCAATACTTCAAGATTTTGTCGAGTTTTTTAAGGTGGGGTTTGTGAATTATTGCCTGGATTTAATGAGGATTTAAGAAATAATTAAGGGGTTCCTCGTAGATACATATTTTTAAAATCTTTCGTGAAAGAAGTTAACGTTTAAGTAACTAATTGTAACAGCCTAAGCCTACGATTAGTATATATTGTCTATTTTGGCTGATTGCATATTGTTGTTACCCTCTCCGTATAAAGGGTCTAGCCCTGTTTCAACTAGTGCCTTGCATCATTCGTTAGCTAGCATACTATTTGTAACAACTTAAACCCACCGCTAGTCGATATTGTTTATTTTGAGCTATAGTCATCAGATTTTAAAACACGTATACTAAGAAGTAGAGGATTCTACACTCTTATTATAAAAAATGTTTCGTTTTTTCTCTCAACCGACATGGGATCTCACCATTTCTTAAATTTAAATAAATTTAAGTTTCTTTGGCATCAAATTGGAGTGATGAAAAAAAGATGAGATTGGATAATGAACTCACATTTGATTAGGGCTTTTCCGCATTGTAAGTGGTGGGTTAGAATTCTCACACTTTGAAGCTCCATTGACATTAATTTCTTGACTTTGGTTCTTCAAGCCTGTGTCTGCAAATTTAAGTCAACTATCCAAGATCATCATTTTTTTTTAAGAAAACATTTTCGTTCTTATCCAAATTGCAAAAAACAAAATCTATTGTAATTACCGGTTGCTTTGTCTGTGCCTTTCACTGTTCTATACATCTGCACGAACATGAAAAAAAAAAAAAAAAAAAAAAAAAAAAAAAGAAATTAAAAGAAACAGCAGAAAGAAAGAAAAAAAAAATAGTCAACTGGGCAAAGATTACACTCTTGATTCTCTTTTGTCCTCACTTTTTTGTTCTCAAGAACCATTACAATTCAATTCTTATTCCAAAAAAAAAAAAAAAAGAAATTAAAAGAAACAGCAGAAAGAAAGAAAAAAAAAATAGTCAACTGGGCAAAGATTACACTCTTGATTCTCTTTTGTCCTCACTTTTTTGTTCTCAAGAACCATTACAATTCAATTCTTATTCCAAAAAAAAAAAAAAAAGAAATTAAAAGAAACAGCAGAAAGAAAGAAAAAAAAAATAGTCAACTGGGCAAAGATTACACTCTTGATTCTCTTTTGTCCTCACTTTTTTGTTCTCAAGAACCATTACAATTCAATTCTTATTCCAAAAAAAAAAAAAAAAGAAATTAAAAGAAACAGCAGAAAGAAAGAAAAAAAAAATAGTCAACTGGGCAAAGATTACACTCTTGATTCTCTTTTGTCCTCACTTTTTTGTTCTCAAGAACCATTACAATTCAATTCTTATTCCAAAAAAAAAAAAAAAAGAAATTAAAAGAAACAGCAGAAAGAAAGAAAAAAAAAATAGTCAACTGGGCAAAGATTACACTCTTGATTCTCTTTTGTCCTCACTTTTTTGTTCTCAAGAACCATTACAATTCAATTCTTATTCCAAAAAAAAAAAAAAAAGAAATTAAAAGAAACAGCAGAAAGAAAGAAAAAAAAAATAGTCAACTGGGCAAAGATTACACTCTTGATTCTCTTTTGTCCTCACTTTTTTGTTCTCAAGAACCATTACAATTCAATTCTTATTCCAAAAAAAAAAAAAAAAACCGACCTGTAAATGGCTTTTTACATGAGCTAGGGTTAAATCTTTGACATTCATCAGCTCCAGTACAGATTTTGGTGTTGCCCCTGCAGATTGATTGAAGGAAGAAAAAATAAATAAAAAAAATCATATAAATGAGTTAGAAAAAGCAACAATAAAATAAAAATAAAAATAAAAATAAAATAAAATATGTACTGTCATGGCCGCCAAGGAGCTGAACAGCGTGGACGAAATGGGCATGAAGAGTGGTGGTCCATCTCATTCTTGGAGCTCTAATTCTTCTTTTAATCCCAAAGCCCATTTTGGCATCTCCCTTGAAATGGGTTTTGGGAGGAAGAAGAAACGCAGCATTCTCATGGGTCAGATCGCTGCCGCTGCTGCCGGAATCAGAGGGTGGGCTTATCTGCAAGGAAAGGTCCGGCAAGGGCGGTGCCGTGGTGTTGGTGATCATATGGGTGGAGGTAAACATGAATGGTTTGGAGAAGAGATTGAGGAAAAAGGTGGTGACCCTTTTGATATTATGAGTGGATTATGATTTGAGAGAAGGAGATAGAGAAAGGGGTTTCGAAAAATGGGAGCTTTAGAGGAAGGGAGGTGTGACGATGATGGATTTATAAGCAAACCCACAGAAGGAGAAATCCCCAGAGAGAGAGAGAGAGAGAGAAGGAAAAGGAGTGAAAAGTTGAAAGTTGTGTGTGCATTTAATACTCACAGATGATGGATCAGACAGCTTTTCCAACACAAACACGAACACAACAGAACAGTGATTGTGACCCTTTTAATTTCACATCGCTTTTATTAATTTCATTTTCACTTCATTTATTTAAACAAAATTTCCCCATTTTGTACCAATGGCTTACTTTCTTCATTCCTTGCATTCCAATGTATAGTTGACCGTTTTATCATTGAACTACTTAAAAATAATGGTAAATTAGCTTTGGGAGAATTCAATTCCCCTTCTCAGTCCATGACGGACATGAATTCGAAGCTTCCTTTATGAATCTCGAAACTTCTTTATAGTGGCTCAATTCTATACCTCATTTCATAGAGAACCTTAAAGTGACCATATTTAATTATATTTCATACATATCCCAATTTCATTCGTTTAATATCCTTGTAATGTCACTGAGAAAGAGATGTCGTTTCTACTTTATTTGTTTTTATTTCTATAGAGTGTTGAGGATTGTTGAGAGAGAGTTCCACGTTTCCTAATTAAAGAGATAATTATAGGTTTATAAACAATGAATACATCTTTCTTGAATAAACCAAAAACACGACCAAAAACAAGACCAGGAGAGCTTATACTCCAAAGTAATACAATACAGTATATATATATAAGAACTCAAAAATTGCAATAATTTTATTTTTATATATTTATATTTTTCATAAAAGATATGAAAGAGAGCTAAGAATATTAATTGATTTAATATGAAAAAAAAGGATAATATTATGGCATATTTTAATTTGAAAGTAACAGGTGGCATTTGTCTGCCTTAGCTTAAGATGCATCCTTAATTTCCCAATATTCCCTCTCCGTGTCCAATTATTCCTTGTCCAATCATCCGCGTGCCTCACGTGACCTCCCATTTTTAATTCCCGTTTTATTTCCCTCCATGCAATAATTAATTAATAATTATGTCCCTAAATTTAATACTAATTCATTAATTAACTAATCTAATCCTCTTCCGTTTTAAAAGCTTTTTATTTGGTCAGCGGCTGATGCGCTCTAGATTCTCCGGGAAATGCAAGCCCTCCTTAATTAATTCATTATATTTTCTTGTTATAAAATAAAATAAAATAAAATAATTTATTTATTGGATCATATTCCATATTCTATGCCTTTGTCTTATCATATTTTATTTTTTTAATCCACAAAGGTCAGGGAATAATTTGTTTTCCTTTACTGTGAAATTTTGTCACAACCTATATTCGCATCCCCAACGTCTCTAACTAGCTCAGTCTCAATGTACGCATTAGAGAACGGGAGTGTGTGAGGTGGGTTGGCCCTTTGGTCAAGAGGCGGGATCCTATTTTGACTAGTAGGCACAGTTACTTGAATCTAGTTGTTGAGCGAGATATCAGGTGAATCATGCTGCTTGACCAAAGATGGTTGCTGTACCGCAGTTTCTCAGATATTAAACAAATTGGATATCTGATGTTGGGAGACAGACTCGGGTGTTGCGGTACTTGCAATTCAAATGGGATGTATGTATAAGCCTCATCTACAACCAACAGAGGTGAGATAAATGGGACAAAGCATGAGTAATGATACACATATTTTTCTTCATCAAAACAAACCCATTACTCCACTGTCCCACAGCATTCAAAAGGATATAAAAAATGAGTACATTTTTGTTGCGTGTTAAGTTAAGAAAGGAGGAAGAAGAGTGGACCCTTCGAAATTAATACGCAAAATCAGAGAGGCCAATGCATTTCCATGGGACCCCTTCTTCTTTCTCCCTGCTCACCATCATGTCCCTTCTTTCATCATGTTTAGGTTTGAAGAGCTGTGTTGCTGTACCAGACTCAATACCCCAACTGACCCACAAACCAATCCCTCTCTCTTTCACTGCTATTACTTCAATGCCCGGCCGTGTGAGACTTTGAAAGCAAGTAAGCTTATCGCTAGTAGATATTGTCCAGTTTTTGTTGAGGATTGTTGGAAGGGTGTCCCACGTTGGCTAATTTAAGAAATGGTCATAGGTGTATAAGGAATACATATCCATTGATACGACACCTTTTAGGAAAACCTAAAGCAAAGTCATGAATTTATGCTCAAAGTGGACAATAACATACTACTGTAGAGAGTCATGATTCCTAACCGTTTCTACAATCGATATGGGATCTCTTCCACAATGTGTCAACTCTCCTAATGCTTCTTTGCTTCCTTCTAATTCATTCTAACTTAGGTAAGATTCGAGAATTAGCCAAATCCACAAGTTTAAGACACATTTTCTTATGAAATTCAAACCTCAAGAATACTTAATCATAACTAAGCTAGTACTCGAAATTTTAAGTTTGTATCGATCTAATCCCTAATCTTTAAAAAGTATCTGACAAGTACTAAAGTTTTGCATCTAATAGGCCCTCTTACTTTCAGTCCCATGTCTAATAGCTTTGACATATTCAACTTTGCAACGTTGAGTGACTAAATAGACACAAAGTGGTTGGCCCCATATGAGTTAAAAAACTATAGAAATATTGGTCATAAGGTGCATTATTATGTTACCTACAAGCACATGTGCCCAACGTACGATGTAAAGATATCTATTTGCCTTTTGCCGTTTCCTAATGAGAGAGGGCAGTGCAATATTGTTATATTCAAAGGGAGGGAAGTGAGGAGGATCAAATAATTAAGACAAAATATTGTTCTTTTTTGAGAGAGAGAGAGAGAGAGAGAGCAGAAGTGGGGAGGACCACAGAAGAACAAAAGCATGCTTGGTGAAAAATGTAAGAAGTTAGAAAGGTACCTCCTCATAGCCCTCGAGAATTTCAAACAAAAGGCTACAAACAACTCCCCAATGTCAAGATCCCCATCGATTGCGCACAAGAAAAAAGTTGAGAACTTGAACAAATTCCCATCTCCCTTTCAACTCCCACCTGCGACTGCAAAAAGAAGCATATAATATAATGCTGTGTGTGTGAGTGTGTGCGAGTGTTTGTGGCAGCTGCCATCACCACCAAGCACGACTCCTTGCACACAGAATATGTACAAAAACTTGGTCATAATTTACCATTGGAGCTTTGTGAGGAAAGAACCGTCCAGGATGGGGAAGAATTGCTGGCACATGACCAATTCTGAGTCGACTGCATAATCCCTTCCCCCCAGCCATAGCCTGCCACATTTACATTTTGTCCTCTGTGTATTGGTCTGAATAATGGCTAACCCACGTGATCCCCAACCTCCGCGAGCCTTCAAACTTCAAATATACACTCATCACTCGGGGATTCATAGACATATCTTCCATCCCCTCTCTGTTTTTTACTTAGGAAAATCAGAGTTTTTATCAAGAATATGATTATCAGACCATCAACTCTGTTGTATATTCAAATCGTTCCCCATCATCAGTACATATGGCTCTGCTAAAATTCCTAAGCTCATAAACAGGTTATTCTACTAGCATGGCATCAACTAAATGGCAGCAAAGGACAGGTCCCAGCCACAGAGCATCATATGTTTACAGAGTTATACAGATTAGGCACTGAAGATTTGGGGAACTTGGCACACATTAGGCTTCAGGTGCTTTGATTAGCATTTGGTTGGTGTTTGATGGCATGCGAGTGAGAGGGACAACATGTGCAACAACGCGGAAGATTTTGACCTCCAGAACCACAGGAGGACCACTTGGATTAGTGACAGGCTCAAAGACGCAGACGTCAAATTCTTCTAAATTGTTACTTATGGAAAAATGTTTCCATCCACTTGTAAGGCCACCAAATTGACGCCTAGAGTTGAAGTTGAATCTGACTGGCCATTCATCTTTTCCAACACGCAGTATTACCTCTTGGTTGCGAAAGGGGGTGCTTTTTGTAACCCATTGATTGGGGAGAAACTGCAAAATTGATGAACATGCTCAGTCAACAAAATCATTGCCGAGCTTTTCTTATATTTGACCGTTCCAGTAACCATCCGAGCCTACCACTAGGAGATATTGTCCTTTTTGGCCTTTCCTTCACGGTTTTAAAATGCTTTTGCTAGGAAGAGGTTTCCATTGTTTCCCAAAAAGGTGGATTGTGAGATGCTACATCAGTTGAAGAGGGGAACAAAATATTCTTTATAAGGGTGTGGAAACCTCTTCCTAGCATACGCATCTTAAAACCTTGAAGGGAATCCCAAAAGAAAAAGTCCAAAGAGTACAATATCTACTAGCGTATATTATTTGCTAGCGATGGGCTTGGAAGTAGCTACAAGATATCTCTGCAACAGAAAGATAGTTTTACCAGAAAGAATCTCTTGTACACGTGAAGGTCGCATAACAACTTTGAAACTAGCATCACTTGCTGCTGCTTCCGCCAACATCAGGGCATTGTTCTTCTCATCTTCAGTAATAGCCTTCCGATTCGATACGTAACGCTCAGTATACGACCCAGTTTTCTTGACGGGAGTAGTGTCCACATCAAATTCTGGCAAAGTCCACGCTTAGATACCATATCAAAAAGCTAACTGAACTTCTGATTCATAAGTCTAGTTTTTCTTATTATTCATTCACTATTTTTAAGGTCAACAGAAGAAAACATGGAACAATATGAATGAAGGATTAAAAGCTTAAAGAACTTCTTCTCCAACTACCTGTCATAATTACTGCATCATTTGGAGTTTGTTGCCTTCTTCTAGTTTGCATTCGTATAGGCTCAGCGTAGAAAGCCTCTGGTTGGACACTAAAATTTGTATCTTTGGACACAACGTGTACTGTCATCAATTATGATATTTTCGGAGGAAGCAGATTCAGCGCCATTGTTAGTATTAGCATCAAAGCCATCCAAGGAGGGTTCTATAAACTTCCTCTTAGCCTGGTAGCCACTGTCAGTCTTTATATGCTCCCACATTTTTACAAAATATGATGTTTCCTTCTCACAAAAGCTATTCCAATCAAATATCAAAACATCAAACTGTGACGCTCCATTGTACCTAAAAACCAAGAGATCATTCAGCTCCAGAGAATGAGCCT